ATTTTAAGAAAGTTACATAAATGGAATCATTCAGTATATAACCTCTTCATATTTTTTTTTTAACCCAGCATAATCCTCTGGATATTCATCAAGTTTGTTTCATGTATCAATAGTTGATTCATTTTTATTGCTTAGCAGTACTCCATGGGATGGGTTACCACAGTTTATCTGAAAGCTCTTTCTTCATTGAAGGACATCCACATTGTTTACAGTTTTCATCTATTACAAATAAAGCTACTATAAACATTTGTTTACCAGTTTTTGGTGAACATAATTTTAAACTTCTCTGGGATAAATCCCCGTCTGCAGTTGCTAGCTGTATGGTAATTGCATGCTAAGGTTTTAATTTAGGTGAACTCAGATTCCTTTTTAAATCTTTGTTCAGTTCTTTTAGCCTTAGCTGGGCTGTTTGGAGTCTACCAGTTCAAAGATACAGTTCAAGGGTGAGTAAGAAATTAGGACAGAATTTATAAGCAGATTTCAGGATTTCCTTTCTTAGGCTCTCTCTTTCCCTGGATTCCCAGCCCTACTTCCCAGTTTATGACCTTGTCCTAAACTTAGCCTTCTGGTTTGTTGTTTCCATAAGGCAAGTTTTTGGCCTTCCCAAGTAGCTCAACCAGGATCTGCCTTCAAGAATAAAGCTATGAGGGATCCCTGGGTGGAGCAGCGGTTTGGCGCCTGCCTTTGGCCCAGGGCACGATCCTGGAGACCCGGGATCGAATCCCACATCGGGCTCCCGGTGCATGGAGCCTGCTTCTCCCTCTGCCTGTGTCTCTGCCCCCCCCCCTCTCTATCATAAGTTAAAAAAAAAAAGAATAAAGCTATGAAAGCAAAAGAGTTAGCTAGTGCTTGCTATTCCTTCTTTCCAAGTGGAGAATTCCCTCCAGGTTCTGCCAGCTTTTCATATGTTTCCAGTGGTTTCAAGCAGAGATTTTTATATTTTACCTAGTTTTTACCTGCAGGAGGATTAGCCCAATAAGACATACTCTACCATTTCTCAAAGTATATTGTATATCCTTTTTAATTTTATGTAAATGGTAGCGTACCATTCTTTACCTTGCTTTTTAAACTTAGTATATAATGGAGTGTTTCTTTCCAATGTATGTAATTATGCCTTATTTTTATAATCACATAATTATCTACTGCATGGATATACTCTATTCAACAAGTTCCACTATTAGTGGACATGTGGTTGTTCCCATTTTTTGCTATTTAAATATTGCTGCATTATGTATCCTTGAACATAAGGCATTTTGTGTATGTGCAGGCATTTTTAGATTCTTAGAAGTAGAATTGTCAGATTGGCCTACATAGAGATGGCTGTGATTTATACTTTCAATAACATTGGGTGAGAATGCCAGTTTTCTCCCCGCACAACTAACGAACTTAGTATTAAAATTTTTGTCCCATCTATTTTTACAAGTGACTTTTAGTTTCAATTTGCTTTTTTCTTAGACTAATTAAGCATCTTTTAGTATGTTTAAAGGCCATTTTTAAATGAACTTTCTTTTTATGTGTTTTGCCCATTTTTCTTCTGAGATTTTGATCTTTTTTACTTGTAGGAACTTTTCATATATTAAACATCCTTACGTCACTCATAGTCAGGGAAATACAAATCAAAACTACAATGAAATATCACCTCATACCTATCAGAAGGACTGAAATTAACAACACAAGACCAACAGATGTTGGCAAGGATGCAGAGAGAAGGGAACCCTGCTACACTGTTGGTGGGAATGCAAACTGGTGCAGCCACTCTGGAGAACAGTATGGAGGGTCCCAAGAAAGTTAATAGAAACTACCCTTTGATGTAGCAATTGCACTACTAGGTATTTACCCAAAGGATACAAAAATACTGGTTTGAAGGGATATGTCCACCTTGATGTTCATAGCAGCATTATCAACAATAGCCAAATCTGGAAAGAGCCCAGATGTTCATTAACTGATGAATGGATAAACAGGATGCTGAATATATATTATATACACAACAGAATATTATTTAGTCATTTAAAAAGAATGAAATCTTGCCATTTGCAACGACATGATGGAGCTAGAGAATATTATGCCAAGCAAAATAGGTCATATAGATAAATACTCTGATTTCACTCATATGTAGAATTTAAGAAACAAAACAGATGAACATGGGATGGGGCAAGAGAGGCAAACCATAAAACAGACTCTTAGCTATAGAGAACAAACAGGGTTGTTGGAGGAGAGATGGGCAGGGGTATGGGTTAAATTGGTGATGGGTATTAAGGAAGGCATTTGTTGTGATGAGCTCTGGGTATTGTATTTAAGTGATGAATCACAAAATTCTACATCTTAAACTAATATTACACTGTATGTTAACTAACTGGAATCTTAAATAAAACTTGAAACTACAAAACACAAAAAATATATTCTTTGTCCTATGTTCCCACACTTTTTCCTATTTTTTGTCTGTTCTGACTTGATTTAGGAGTTTGGCTTTTTTTTTTTTTTTTTTTTAAATCTTAAAGGAGGTTTTTGGTCAAATCTACTAGTTTTCTCTTCTGATATTTGAGTTATGAGTAATAGAGAAGCCCTTTCCCATTTCAAGATTTAAAGTTTTCTCTTGTATATTTTTATGGTATTTTTTTTTGTTTTTTTTATTATGTTTGAATTTTTTTTTTTTGAGATTTTATTCATGAGAGACAGAGAGAAAGGGTGGGGGCAGAGACACAGATATACAGGCAGAGGGAGAAGCAGACTCTATGCAGGGAGCCTGATGTGGGACTCCATCCCAGGACTCCAGGATCACACCCTGGGCCAAAGGCAGGCACTAAACCGCTGAGGCCCCCAGGGATCCCTTATGTTTGAATTTTTATCTATCTGAATCTAAAATCTATCTTGAGAGAAAGAATGTAGAAACAATGTAACCTTTAAAAAATTTTTTTGATGGATGGCTTTTGTGTACTTTATAGTCTAGTATAAGAAAATGCCAAAAATATTTATATTCACACCTGTTGGTATCATAATTTATGGTTTCTGCTTTTGGTATCATACTTAAGTTTTTTCCACTCTTAAAATTATACAAATACCCACCTTTATTTTTTTTGCTATTTTTGTATATTTAAATCTTTACCTAAAAAGTATTTTAACATATGGTGAGTTGGTACCAAACTTATTTTCTATCCAGTTAACTAGCCCATTTTTCTGCTGCCATTTATTGAATCATTTCCTTACAGATTTCAAATGTTATCTTTAATATTCTCAAATTTGTGGGATCCTTGGGTGGCTCAGCGGTTTAGTGCCTGCCTTTGGCCCAGGGCATGATTCTGGAGTCCCAGGATCAAGTCCCATGTTGGGCTCCCTGCATGGAGCCTGCTTCTCCCTCTGCCTGCGTCTCTGCCTCTCTCTCTCTGTGTGTGTGTGTGTGTGTGTGTGTCTCATGAATAAATAAATTAAATCTTTAAAAAATTTTTTTCAAATTTGTATGTGTGGAACTATCCCTTTTGTTTCATTGATTGCTCAGGTCCTTGTACTAATATCAATCATATTGTCAATTATTTGAAAAATAAAAATAGCAAGCAAAAAGGGCTTGCTTTAAAAGACCCTAAGATGTATAATAAATTTAAAATATTTTTTTTGGCCATTCTTATATTCTCTTAAGAGTGCTTTAAACTCACGTGATCAGGGGCATCTGTGTGGCTCAGTAGTTGAGCATCTGCCTTGAACTCAGGTCGTGATCTTCAGGTCCTGGGATTGAGTCTCACCTTGGGCTTCCAGCAGGGAGACTGCTTCTCCCTCTGCCTATGTCTCTGCCTCTCTGTCTCTTGAATAAATAAAGTCTTAAAAAATATATAAACTCACATGATAAAGTAGTTTTTAAAATGTATACATTAATTTGGGGAGAATTAACATCTTTACCTTTAATAGTCTCATTTAGAACATGGTATATTTTTTAAATATTTTATGTTTCTCAGTTGATTTTTGTAATTTTCTTTGAAAGGGTTAAAAGTATATGCAGTGTGTATCATTACTGTAATATGTGATTATGTACTTTTAAAAAAAGAATAGTTGTTGGGGTACCTGGGTAGTTCAGTTGGTTAAGCGTCAGACTCTTGATTTTTGGCTCAGGTCATGATCTCTCAGAGGATTGTGATATCGAGCTGAGTTGAGCTCTGTGCTGGGTATGGAACCTGCTTAAAATTCTCTCTCTCCTCCATCCACCCCTCCCTTTATACCTGCACATGCATACTCTGTCTCTCAAAGAAAAAAAAAAAAAAGGCTAAAAGAGTCCATTTTCAGTGCTCTCCTCACAAGGAGAAATTTCTTTTTTTTCTTGTTCTTTTTGTTGTAGCTGCAGCTATTGTAATGATTTCACAATGTATGTAAATCCAGCCATCATGCTGTATGCATTAAACTTCTACAGTAATATATATCAATTCTCAGCAAGGCTGGAAAAAATTTTTAGTAATTAAAAAATTTAATTTTTCATATAAAGTAAGAATTTAAATGGTTATCTCTGCTCATAATAGGTAATTTGGGGATTTATTTTCTTGGTCCCTGCCTGTTTTTTAAAAGTTTAATATTAGCATGTATAACTTCCTTATAATTAGGCACAATTTCAGAACACTAATGTGAAATGTTTTGAGTATAGTGATAAATGAAATACATTTAATACTTCCAATGAGAAAAATAAATTTGTTCATAAATACCGTCTGAAAATAAAAGTCACTTAATGCTTTTTATCTGAATGAAAACAAATGTAACTTTAATTATTCATAATAATTTTAAATGCCAGTTTATGTAACTATGGTGTCAAAAGCTGAGAAAATTTATGATTTCTATGAGTTTTTCTCTTAAGCAACAGTGGAATTTTTAAGTCAATATTAGTATTTCAAATACTGTAGAGCTGTTTTGTCAGTTGGCCATAAGCTAGTGGTTTAATTAACATCTAATATATCCCAGTATACCTTATAGCTTGATATGGAATACAAAAATATTCACTTGTACTTTTAACCATAATTTTTTTACAGAGTAGATTTTCAGAAAAGGTGACTATTAAAGAAGAAAAAGAAAATATCTTTGAAGTTTACAAAAGGTCTGTACCATTTTTAATTATGTAATTTTAAAATAGTTACATAATTTGTATTTTGAGTGTGTTTTTCATTCTCTGCTCTATGTGCTTGGGCTACCATGCTGTGAGCCATACATAGATATTATTAATCAGTGTATCAGGTATACCCAGATGTCAGGGATACTTTCAGTTACTATAAAGCTGTGACAAAGATTTTTGAGCCATTAAAATATTTTTTGAGGAAGGAATAAGGAATAGTGATAAAAGAAAAAAGAATGTGTACATGACTTTTGGGAAGGTAGAAGTGTCAGAAATCAGATGAATATTGCAGTTTGCAGGTATCTGACATGTTTGCAGTGATTAGTACTAAGAGTTACAGTACACTCACTTGAACATACGCAGATACCAAACTTAGAGGATACCTGGGAGATCACGATCCATCCTGCATGCCTGTTTTGCTGTTGGGGCAAGGTACACTGAGATCAGGTGACAAATGTGTTCAAGTCCTTTTGTGTTAAGGCAGTAGTTTTCAGTGTGATCCTTTATAGCAGCAGCATCAAGTGGGAACATGTTAGAAACGCAAATTATTTGGTTCCATTCCTGACCTGCTGAATCAGAAACTCTGGAGATGGGGCCCATCAGTATGTGGTTCAGCAAGGCCACCAGCTGATCCTAATATGTGCTCAAGTTTGAGAACCATTGAATGAAGGAAAAGCCTAGGTGAGAATTAGATTGGCACAGAAACCCAGTATGATCCATGACTATTTGAAATTTTAAAAGGGAAAAAATGACAAAAGTTCCCCTTTTTTCCCTCTTATAGGCATTTTGCTTACAACGAAGTAGTGTCATTGCAGTCTGCAGAGTTTTATCATCAGTTTGGCTCTACCATAATGATCAGGAATGTGACATTGGAAAAGTCACTACATTACTCCAGGCTTTAGTCATTCAATCAAAAACAAAAGAATTTTACTAGATAATCTCTTCCATCTGTAAAATTCCATAATTCTTGTTTGTTCTATATTCTTGTTCTTGTTTTGTTTTGAGGAAGGTGGTGTTGATTGCATATATTAATGATGTCCCAAGTTGGAGGGAGAAGTGATTATCTCTTTTCTGTGTAATTTTTTAAAAAGATTTTATTTATTTATTTGAGAGAGAACATGAGCAGGGGGAGGGACAGAGGGAGAAGCAGACTACCTGCTGAGCCACCCAGGCACCCCTTGTGTAATTTTTAAGCTTTTTCGATGCTAACTAAGTTTCAACTGTTGTAAGTGTGGCACCTTCTTTGTTTGTTTGTTTTTTTTTTTCTCCTCTCTGGCCCAGGGAACTCTAGCTGAAAAAGCTTAATAGAATTATTTTTAAGGTAAAATATTGTAGTATCTGAGTGATTTTCACCTAAAAACTAAGTTCATTCATAACTATCAGTCAGCTTTGAGATACTTTCCACTTTCCCCTTCGCTTCTTTCTAGGTAAGTGAAGCTCCAGAGAACTCCTAAGTTTTTCTAAAACAGGTTATATAGGATCTCACATATTAAAATATAGTCAGAGCTGGTTAAATCTAAGCAACCAAGAACAGCACATTTTTTATACCTTCTTCCGCAAGGAAGCTCTCAGGTACCTGTATAAATTTATTAAATATACTTGTTCTAAAGAATGATTTATAATTTACTTATTTTACTCTACTATCAATAGAATAATTGGATGATCTTTTCTGGATTAGAATGCTAGCCTAGTTCCTCCTCAGACTTTTTGTCTGGTGTGATCAAAAATACTCTGCTCTAGTTTTAACCCAACAACCTTTCTCCTACCCCTACCCTGGCCATTTAACAAGCACTGAAGAAGGCAAGAACACCTACTGAAGATACTGAAGAATCATAATATGGTAATAGTATACAGCATGGTGTATAACATATACATAGTGTGTTAGGTTGTGTTTCTACTTATTTGTTTCTCATTACTTTAATGTTTCTAGAATTTTAAAATCTGATTTTGGCTTTTGTGCTCACACAGTGAAGATTCTAAAAATGCAGCGATCATGGTTGGTGAATGTCATTTGGCAGCACTGGTCCCAAAACCTCTGTGCTTATCAGTGCCACCTTTGAATCTGAGTGCTCATCAAGAAGACCTATTTCTAAAGCCCTGGATGAATGGTACTGTTTTCTTAATAAAATTCTGTTGGCTTTTGATAACATAGAAACTGTATAAGAGATTTTTTCATCAAAAACAAAAATAAAAAATATCAAAACACACTTAGAATATGTTAAAATTGGAAAGTTAGTATACCTTTACTTAGAACTATAGATGGAATAATTTCTTAAATATCTGTGTGTGATAGTGGTAAAATATAGGAAATACCTAAAATATTCATATTTTAGTTGAATATTTTAGAATTTTATAATGTATTTAGAATTTGTGTCAGGTTTTTTGACAATCCATAATGCATGAACAAAATAGGCTAGATTGAAGAATTAATTTAGAAGCAATAAAATTTCTTTGTGTAGCCCACACCTAATTCTTCTGTACTTTCCTATTACAGACTTTGTGCTGCCTGGTGTCTTGTGCTACAGCAGCATGCCCAGATGTTTTATCTTAAAAAGCCTTAATGGTTCTTATAATGAAAATTACAGCAAAACTATGCAGCAGAAACTTGAGCTTGTTCCAAATTCACCTGATGCTACCAAGTGAAAAATGCAATTATTTAAAATAAAAAAATTTTAAATTATTTTATCTTTAGAGAAAAACATTTCTAAATGTCCTAATTCTCATTTTGAAAGACCAACATTAAGGGATAGGATGCCTAGTGTATCAGTAGCTCAGGTGACCAAAACACAATACCATAGACTGGGTGGCCTAAATGACAGAAATTTATTTCCCACAGTTCTGGAGGCCAAGATCAAGGTTCTGGCAGGGTTCAGTGTTGGGAGCGGTCCCGCGGTGCGAGGCAAGGTTCCAAGTTGAGCCAAAGCTCCTTGTTGTCCCTAGCCAACCTGCAGTCCTGCGGCGCAAGGCAGGGTTCCAAGTTGAGCCAAAGCTCCCTGTTGTCCCTGGCCAACCCGCAGTCCTGCGGCGCGAGGCAGGGTTCTGGGTTGAGCAAAGGCTCCTTGTCATACCTGGCCAACCTGCTGGGGCTGCACCTAGCTCTTCCCCCTTATGGAAGTAAAAGTACATATTTGCTTCTCCTTTAAAATGTTATCGAGACAAGTTCCCATAAAGTAAGCAAGAAGGTGGCCTGACACATGACCGCCTTGGCAGACATTACTTAATAAACAAACCTCACTGTTTAGTCTAAATGTGGCCTTCATGCTCTATTGCTTAAACAAATAACAGGTGTCAGTCTTAAAAACAATGTATGTTTGTGCGCGAGATGTACTTCTCCTTAAAGAAATAAGCTGCCTGCTTTCAGAAGCTATATAAACTCTACATGCAAAAATAAAGCTTGTCCATTGTGGCCATCAGCTGCATGGAACCTCCTATCCCATGAACTTTTAGTCTCTTGTTTCTTTCTCATCCCCTTGCCCTCGGTTCCTGAATCCGGACCTTCTTGTGCCGGCCACGACAGTTCAGTTTCTGGCTCTCTTCCTGGCTTATGGATGGCTGCCTCCTTGCTAAGGCCTCAACGTGGCCTTTCCTTGATACATGTGCATGGAGAAAGAGCAAGCTCTCTCATGTCTCTTCTTATAAAGACATTAATTCCATCAGATCAATGTCTCACCCTTATGACCCCATTTCGTTCTGTAAAAGGCCCTATCTTCAAATAAAGGGTTAGAGCTTGAACATATGAATTTGTAGGGGGTACATAGTTCATTTTGGTAATACCTAGGTTTGTCAGTTTCCTTAGAAATTTTAATTGTGTATCATATATGTGCGTTTAACATAAAGACTATCATTTAAATGCTGTGTTCAGTACTGCTATATAAAGCTTTTAAAAAAGTATCTTCAGCTTAAAATTAGTTTAAGATTTTACATTTAGGCCTAGAAATACTTAAGGAGCATTTTTTATTTCACAGGCACACACTGTAGCATCATAGTCTGTGAACAGAGTATGAGTAGTCCAAAGTAAAACTTTAAAGCAGATAGTAGTGGTAATATTTCATTGTTATGAAGGGAAGAAACTAACATAATGATGTGTGATGTCATTCTTAATCACTTCTAGATTTCAAATTTCCAGGAAAACATTCTTTCCTAAAGCTGCAGAGTCCTGAAACTTGTGAAATTTTTAAGAGGGAAAAAAATGTAGGGGTAAGTCCCCCATTTAAAAAAAAATAATCCTATAAAAGCACATATTTTGGTTGTATTTCCCTATCATTTTTTTAAGCACTTCTGGCCATTTACAGATTTTGAATGGCAGTTGGTGGTAAAAAGCAGAAAATGAGTAGTGACTCAGAGGATATTCACAAATAATGTTAAGAAGTTGAAAGAAGGCTGGGTGGGTAGGGTGGAGAGTGAATATACAAAACAAAATATAGGATGGATAGTTCCCTGTGATGGAAGAGAAAGCTAATGATTTAATTAAAGCAGTTTATAGAGAAAGTTTGTTGTAAATATTTTTATTCTGTCATTTCTTTGTTACTCAGAAAAGCTGTGGAAAATTTGGATTCTAAATAAATGCATCTGAAATATGCATATTATAATAGAATAGCTTCTTATAAAAGTAAAAGGGGCCAGGTATATGAGAAAGGAGAGGGAATGCATAAACTTTTAAAAACATGTAACGTAAAACAGTAGTAACTGGAATATTTTACGCTGAAGGAAATTGCAAAAATTCGACATCATTTAAAATTTTTGTTTTCATTATTTTAAAAATCTCAATTGTTTGGAGTTTTACTTTATCAAGACAGCAATTTGTCTTGATACTCTTTTGGGTGTATATATTTCTGGTTCCTTCAAATGCTTTCTCACTTGATTATGGTGTTTTATAATTAACATAGAAAGAAAATATATCTAATTTTCTAGGTGTTCCAGAAGCCCCTAGGGTTGATGCTACCCCATAGATATTGCAAATTTCATTTTAATACATTACGTGGCTGTGAACGATCACAATGCAAGTTTGCTCATGTGCCTGAGCAAGGGGATGAAAAGGTAAAATATGTAATGTCTGTGAAGTAGAGATTGTTTTAATAATCATCTGTTACATGTTTAATTCAGATTTTCTTTGACTCCTGCTAGCATAGATGAGCTTTGCCTAGTTTTGTACTTTATATAAATGAAATCATACAATCGGTATTCTTATTTTTAGTTTCTTTTTCAATATTTTTGAGATTCATCTATATCTTTTACTTATAAACATTTCTTTATCATTGCTGTATAATTATTCCAGTGTGCGAGTATATCAAAATTATTTTATTGATAAATATTACTTTTGATTCATTTGGGTGGTTTCTAAACCTGCCTGTCTTTTGGTGGATATGTGTGTGTATGTGTGTGTGTATATATATATAATATATATACACATATATACACACACACTTTCTGATGGGTTATACTTAAAACTGGAATTACTGGTTCATAGGATCTGCATATGTACTTCAGTCGATATTGCCAAGCAGATTTCTGAAGTGGTCTGCCAAATTATACTCTCACCAGCAATGTTGAAGTATTCTGGTTGATTCATAGCCTTACCAGCTCTTGGTATTTATCAGCCTTTTAATTTTAACCATTCTGGTGGGTGGGGAGTGATGCCTTCCCAGATGATGATTGATGAAGCTGAGCATCTTTCAAAATCATTATTAGATGCTTGGATACCCTCTTTTTGGAAATATCTAAGTATTTTGCCTATATTCTATGGGATTGTCTTTTTCTTTCTTTTTTTTTTAAGATTTTATTTATTTATGAGAGACAGAGAGAGAAAGAGAGAGAGAGAGGCAGAGGGAGAAGCAGGCTCCATGCAGGGAGCCCGACATGGGACTCGATCCCAGGACTCTAGGATCAGGCCCTGGGCTGAAGGCGGTGCTAAACTGCTGAGCTACCCAGGCTGCCCGGATTGCCTTTTTCTTATCTGTCTTAAGAATTCTTTATATTTTCTGGGTGTAAGTTCTCTGTTGGATATGTGTATGGCAGGTAACTCTTACTAGTGTACTGGTTGCCTTTTCACCCTCTTTAAAAGTGTCTTTTGGTAAACAGAATTTCTTAATTTTTATATAGCCCAGTTTTGTTGATTTTCTTAACTTTTTTTTTTTTTTGTCCTGTTGAAGAAATATTTGCCAAGATCTTGGGTTTTTTTTTTTTTTTTAAAGGTCCAATGTTTTATCTTTGTATTTAGAATACTAAGCCACCATTAAGGAGGGCACATGATATGGTAAGCACTGGGTGTTACATGCTACTGATGAATTATTGAACTCTACATCTGAAACTAATGTACTATATATTGGCTAACTGAATTTAAATTAAAAAAAAAAAACACTAAGCCACCTGGAATTGATTTTTTGTTTATGATGTGAGGAAAAGGTCAAGATAAATATTTTTTCCTGTGTGGATCCCTAGATGACCCAACACCATTTACTAAAAAAAGACCATTTTTCCCCCCACTGCACTGCAGGGTCACCATGTCACAAACCAGCTGATTCTATATGAGCGTGTCTATTACTAGGCTCTCTATTCTAATCCGTTGGTAAATGGATTTATCCTTGCATGAGTAAAGTTATTTTTTTAAATGACCTAAATAAGATTTTTAAAAAATTTCAGATACTCAAGGATTTCTTCCTTTCCCCAATTGCTTGCTAATCTAGGCTATTTTCTTGACCTTTTCTTTTTCAGAGCATCTCTAGAATAAGGTTTTTGTAGTGAATTCAATACGCATTTCAAATCTGTGAGTTAACCTAACTTCAACTTTTTATGCCATTGCTTTAAGTTTACTTAAAAAAATAGAATAAGGGATCCCTGGGTGGCGCAGCGGTTTGGTGCCTGCCTTTGGCCCAGGGCGCGATCCTGGAGATCCGGGATCGAATCCCACGTCGGGCTCCCGGTGCATGGAGCCTGCTTCTCCCTCTCCCTATGTCTCTGCCTCTCTCTCTCTCAGTGTGTGACTATCATAAATAAATAAAAATTAAAAAAATAGAATAAACAGAAAGATAGGATAGAAATTTGTCTTTTATGAAATATAAAAAGGTAATATTATGTTTTTCATTACTTGTAGGTTTGTATGGATGTGTTTAAGAAATATATAAGTATCAACGAGCTATGTTTGCTACAACGTGCAGGTATGAGACAATGGAATGATTACTATAAATTCATGAATGTGAGTGTTTCAAACAATGTGCTATTGTATTTTATAGTTTGAAAGTAACTTCAGTACTTTAAAGTATGAAAACTGAATGCCTTAGAGTGGCTCTGCTGGTCTTAGAAAGGATTAAAAATAAGTGTGCCATTTTGGTTATTAAAAAAATTAGAATCCACCTAACACTATAGTTCTCTTACATACTAATATTTGCATGATGTATAGGTGTAAGAAAAAATAATACTGTTAATTGGCTTAAAATCTTTCTGAAGGGATGTTTCAGAAACTGAAATCTTTCCTACTTCTTATCCTCTTAACACTTATCTCTTTGAGGCCAGTACACCTTCCATACTGAATTCTGTGTAAGTCCCTAAACAGGCCAGGCTCTGTTATAACATCACAGCCACTGTACCTGCTCTCTATCTGGGATGCCTTTCTTCCATACCTCTTCCCTATAGCAAAGACCTATTTATCTTTCAAATCTTAGTCATAGGAAATAGCAGATTGCTGATGGCTACTTCTGATCACAGAGATGCAAAGAGATGGGCAGCTATTATTATCCTACTTTTTCCCATTGTCTTAAGCCTCTCTTCTTCCTGCTAAAGTGACTTCCAAACAATTTAAAGAGCTAGCACTCTTTTTTTACCTTGTCTTTCATTTTTCTTTTTCCCCATTTCAGAGCCGTCTTAGAGACTAGGATATTCAAAAACAACTGCATGCATATATGGGGGAAACTAAAAAGTGACTGCATGAGAAAGGCTCACTAAAGAAATGATAAGACCTTAAATTTACACTTCAGACTGATCCTCACCACAGAACATACAACAATAAAAAAACAAAAGCAGTAAACAGAAACAATAACAAAACAACAGGCCCTGGGGGAAGGGAGAGAATCTGAGCTCTTGCAGTTACCAGTTATTAGATTAAAATGCCCACTTTCAACAAAAAGTCACAAGGTATACAAAGAAATAGGAAAAAGTACAGCCCACTCAAAGGAAAAAATGTATCAATAGAAACTATCCCTGTAAAAGATCTAATGGCAGATAGTTGAGATAGTGACTTCAAAACAACTGTCTTAAAGATGTTTAACATATTTACAAAGATATAGAGGAAGTAAAGAAAATGATGTATGAACAAAGTGGAAATATTAATAAAGAGAGGTTAAGAAAACTAAAAAAAAAAAAAACTGGAACTGAAAAAGTACAATAACAAGTAAAAAGTTCACTACAAGGATTCAAAGGCAGATTTAAGCAGGCAAAAAATCAGCAAACTTGAAGATAAGACAATAGAAATTACTGAGTTCGGGGGATCCCTGGGTGGCGCAGCGGTTTTGCGCCTGCCTTTGGCCCGGGGCCGGCGTGGAGCCTGCTTCTCTCTCCTCCTGTGTCTCTGCCTCTCTCTCTCTCTCTGTCTATCCTAAATAAATAAATAAATAAATAAATAAATAAATATAATAAATAAATAAATAAATCTTTTTAAAAAAAAATTACTGAGTTCAAAGATGAGAGAGAAGAAAGATTGAAGAAATGTGAACAGCCTAAGGGACCTGTGGGATTCTGTTAAATAGATAAATATATACATTGTGCGAATCCCAGAAGGAGAAGAAAAAGAGGGAGGCAGAAAGAGTATGTAAACAGACTGGCTGAAAACTTCCCAAATTTGATGAAAGTCATGAATATAAATGTCCAAAAAGCTTAACAAACTCCAAGTAAGATGATGAACTCAAAGAGACTCACACCAAAACACATTATAATCAAAGTTTCAAAAGCCAAAGACAGTCTTGAAGGCAGCTGGAGAGAAGCAAATCATCACATCCAAGGGATCCTCAGTAAGATTATAAGCAAATTTCTCATTAGAAACTAGAGGTCAAAAGATAGCCAATATTTTCAACATGCTTCAAAAAATTTTCTGTCGACCAGGAACCCTATATCTAGCAAAACTACCCTTCAAAAATAAAGGAGAAATTAAGACGTTTTCAGATAACTAGAAGCTGGGAGAGTTCATTTCCCGTAGACCTGCCCTGCATGAAATGATCAAGGGAGTCCCGCATGGTGAAATTAAAGAACACATAGTCACTCAAGGTCATGTGGAGAAATAATGGTCTCAATAGAGGTAGTAAATACATGGACAATAGTAAAAGTTAGTAATTATTTAAACAGTAGTTTGTAAGTGCTATTTTGTTTTCTTCTCTATGATTTAAAGAGACTAAAACAGTTAAAGAAAAAAATTATTAGTGTAAAAAGTAGTAGTATTGCAAATTTGATAACTCCAAATCCTCTCTTCTATATAATTTAAGAGCCTCATGCATTTTAAAAAACTGTTAATGTTTGGGACACACAGTATGTAAAAATGTAATTTTGTGACTTAACTGAAAAGGGTAGGGATGGAGTATAAAAAAAAAAGCAGTTTTTGTATGTTACTGAATTTAAGCTGGTATTAGTTCATATTAGAGTGTTACGACTTTAGGATGTTAAATATAATCCTCATGGTAATCACAAAGAAAATAGCTATAGAATAAACACAAAAAGGAATTTAAACATTTAATTGAAAACATCAACTAAACAAAGACAACAGTAATGCAGAAAATAAGGAACAAAAAAGCTATTATAAGTATGCAAATAGGAAACAACAAAATGACAGAAGTCCTTCCTTACTGTATGCTAACTGACAAAATTTAAATTTAAAAAGTTATATTTGTTTATATCATACTATAGTCTGTTAAGTATATAATAATTTTTTAAAAAGTGTATATACCTTAAACTTCATTGCTAAAAAACTCTAGCCATCATCCAAAGCCCTCAGTGAGTCCCAGTCACTGATCACAGATGACTACAACAGATGTAATAATGAAAAAGTTTGAAATATTTCAAGAATTACCAAAATGTGACACAGAGACATACAGTGAGCAGTACTGCTGGGAAAATGGTGCCAGTAGACTTACTTTATTTAGGGTTCCTGCAATCCTTTAATTTGTAAAAGATGCAAAATCTGCAAAGTGCAATAAAATGAAGTACAATAAAACAAGGTAGGCCTGTACCAAGGTAGGTCTTTCATAAAAGTGAAGTGGGTGGTATAAAGCATACTCTAGAAAGTGAGGGAAACCTGTATATGAAAACCTATTGCAGAAAGCATACTCAGTGGTGAAAGACCAAAACTCTTCCCCTTAAGATCAGAAACAAAGGCAAGGATACCCATTTTCATCATTTCTGTTCAAACTAAAACCGGAAGATTTATGATCCAGAATGATCAGACGAGGCAAAGAAATAAAATGCATCCATTTCAGAAAAGAAGAAGTAAAATTAACTCTGCACATTATCAACAATAGCCAAATTATGGAAAGAGCCCAAGATAAAGAAGATGTGTGTATACACATACATATATATAACAGAATATTTGTTTTTAAGATTTTACTTACTTATTCATGAGAGACATAGGCAGAGGGAGAAGCAGGCTCCATGCAGGGAGCCCGACATGGGACTTGATCCCGGGTCTCCAGGATCACACCCTGAGCTGAAGGTAGCACTAAACTGCTGAGCCACCCAGGCTGCCCTATATAACAGAATATTATGCAGCCATCAAAAAGAATGAAATCTTGCCATTTGCAACAACATGGATGGAGCTAGAGTGTATTGTACTAAGTGAAATAAGTCAGTCAGAGAAATATAAATACCATATGATTTCACTCATTTGTGGAATTTAAGAAAACATGACCATAGGGGAAGGGAGGAAAAAAAAGAGGGAAGCAAATAATTAGATACTCTTAACTACAGAGAATAAACTGAGGGTTGATGAAGGAGAGATGGGTGGGGGGATGGGCTAAATGGGTGATGGGTATAAGGAGGGCACTTGTGATGAACACTGGCTGTACTATGTAAGTGATAAATCACTAAATTTTACACCTGAAACCAATTTTACCATGTTAACTAACTAGAATTTAAATAAAAACTTGAAATAAAAAAATTACCTGTTTGCAAATAATATGATCTTACATGTAGAAACTCTAAAGATTCCACCAAAAAACCCGTTAGAACTAAAATATAAATTCAGCAAAGTAGCAGTATATGGATTGAACATGCAAAAATCACTTGCATTTCTATACACTCAGAAAACAATCTGAAAAAAAATAAAAGCATTTCAATTTATAGTAGTACCAAAAATAATAAAATATTTAGGAATTAACTAAGGAAATGAAAGGTATGTCATTGCTGAAAGAAATTAGAAACTAGTAGAAACAAATCTCATGTTCACGGATTGGAAGACTTCATACTATTTTTTTTTTTAAGAATTTATTTATACATGAGAGACACAGAAAGAGGCAGAGACACAGGCAGAGGGAGAAGCAGGCTCCATGCAGGGATCCTGACATGGGACTCAATCCCAGGTCTCCAGGATCACATCCTCCTGAAGGCGGCGCTAAACCCCTGAGCCACCCAGGCTGTCCATGACTTCATATTGTTAAAATGTCCGTACTATATAAGTGATCTCCTGGAAATTCAGTGCAATCCCTATCAAAATACCAATGACTTTTTTTTCCAGAATTAGAAAAACTAAAAATTCATATTTTATTGCAAGGAACCCCAAAATTATTATAAAAAACAATCTTGAAAATAAAACTGGAGGAATCATACTTCCTGACTTGAAAACTTCCTACAAAGCTAGAGTAATAAACAAAACTGCAGTATCGGCATAAAGACAGACATATAAACCAATGGAATAGAATAGAGAGCCCAGACAAAACCCCTCATATATTTGATCAAATGATTCTAGGCAGTGGTTCCAAGACAACTCAATGGGGAAAAGGATAGTTTCTTCGACAAGTGGTGCTGGGAATACTGGATAGCTACATGCTAAAGAATAAAATTAAACCCTTACCTGACACTCTATACAAAAACCAATTCAAAATGGATCAAAGATCCTAATATAAGACCTACAACAATAAACCCCTTAAAAGAAGTCATAAGGACAGAAGCTTAACAACACTGGTTTGGCAGTAATTTCTCAGATATGACACCAGAAACACAGACAACAAAAGAAAAAGACAAATTGGACTTCATGAAAATTTAAAAATTTTGTCCATTAAAAGACAGTATCAAAAGACAGCAACCGACAGAATGGGAAAAAATATTTGCAAATCATATATCTAACAATGGATTAACATCCAAAATATATAGAGAATTCCTAAAAACTCCAGCAAAAAAGCAAGCTGATTCGGAAATAGGCAGGGGTGCCTGGGTGGCTCAGTCAGTTAAGCCTCTGCATTTAGCTCAGATCATGAATCTGGAGTCCTGGGATTGAGCCCCATGTCAGGCTCCCTGCTCAGCGAGGAGTCTGCTTCCTCTCTCTGCTCCTATCCCTCCGCTTCTCCCCCTGCTCATGCTTACATGTCCTCTCTCTGACTCTCTCAAATAAAATCTTTTAAAAAGCAGCACCAAGTAATCCAGATGGTAATAAGTATTTTGGGCAGAAATAACTACACTAAAATAAAACCCAAGGTAATTTTTATTAAGGCAGTTTCAGCTAGGGTATAGAGATTCTGACCTGTAAAAGTTTGCAATGGGGAAAAAATGAGTGATCCCTTAAAATAATTTTACCAAAATAATGGGAAAAAATTAGAAATGGTTTAAGTGTTGTTATAGAAAGTAAATTAAGTTGGATTAACATTAAGAAATTACTTTCTGAGGGGAAATTAGTGTACTTTTTAGTAGAATGTTCATAATCATAACTGGAATAAAAAATATCTCTAGGGTCAACATGTTGGTGGGGTTAAAAACAAGAAGGGGTATGTATACAAATAGTCTGTATCCATCCCCAAATTATACAGTTTCTCATACATGACCAAGCCTGGCCTGAAGAATCCCTGAGAGTGTGGCTCCCTCAGAGTTCCAAGGATACCATGTTGTATGAGGCAACTAACCTATTTCTTGTGGTTAGCACATAAGTTAGCTCCCACTGACTTCAAATGTTACTGTCATTAACTTTAATTTACTTTCATCAAATATTGCTGATACAGAAGTGTACCTTTCAAGAAGATGAATTTACACTGCTTGATCTTTAAATATAGAAAATTTGTCTAATTTAGGAAAGATAAATATCTTGATATCAGCAAATGATTTTTATATTTTTTTATTTTTAGTCAACACATTTATGGATTACTACAGAAAGTTTCCGCCAGGTATACACTTTGATTTGCAAGTGCTAAATGACCTTCTAAATTCTTTACTCAAACATTGTTTATTGAAAGAAGTATTTCAGGTAGTGAACCTCAGCATAATGGTTAAAATGCTGGTAAGTAACCTGAAAATCTATGCTTTTTAGTATTGTAAGTGAATTTGTTATATTTCTTGTTTGTATAATTTATCGATTAAATCTTTGGGTTTATTGAATAATTCCTAGAGAACGCTTTTATTTTCAGCATAAATGAAAGAAGACATGAAAATGAGTATAATTTTTTGTTTTATCCAGCCTGCTTTGAAAATATTGCTAAAAATATTTGAACATGTGGCAACTATGAAATTAAGGAATGCTGTACCTGCTTTAATAGATATATTTTGCAAGGTATGCTTTATCACTTTTATTCTCTGATACTGAATAACCAAGAAAATAATTCTTTCCACTTACACTCTTAAACTGCCTTTTACTCACATTCTTGATGCCAAAGAATTCTGTTTTCAGAAATGTTCTTTTTCTCTTGAAAGAGGATTTATAAACAGACTCCAGTGACTGATGTGCCTTCCCCTTAAATACGTAAATCGTTCTAAGCACTCCAGGTGACTTCTTTCTGATTTGTAAAGTCATCTCTGCACCTTAAAGATGATTAAAGAAAACTCTTTATCAAAAAGATATGAGGTCATTCATAACAAAAATCAATACACAGATCAATATATACATAGAAAATCCTGACCCAAAGTAAGAAAAACAAAGAAACACGGAGGTTAGGAATTAATTTTATAGTTGGCACCAAAAAAAAAAAAAAAAAAAAAAAAAAGCAAAAGAATTTTATGGCTTTCTAAAATTATATTAAAATATGTACTTTTGGCTGCTTACTGGTATTTAGCACTGCCCAGCCATCCATTTCAGAACAGGCTAATAACAAGAACCACCCCTCTCGCCCACCTTTTCTATAAGGAGCAGCATTGCAACCACTCTAGCAGAATATACATGTATATTGGTGAATACTCTAGATCCACATTACAAAACTTGACAGAATTATCTGCCTGGAAATTTTTTAAGCTAGAAATTACTTATCACCACTAGTAGTTTTAGAAAATCTCAGTTTGTTATGTCTCAGGAAGTTTACAATCTGGGATAACTTACAAAAACAAGTGCTAGGCTAAAGACTAAATGAGTACCAAACAGGAGGTATGGATGATAAATTCATTGAGATAACTTGGAAAACAAAGAATATTCAAGTTTTGAATTCAAACATTGTTTTCATTTTCACTTTAAATTCTTAAGGTATCTAACTGTGGTTTTCAGATATTGGAAGAAAATATACTTCAGGGGTTTTTTTGTTGTTTTTTTGTTTTTTTTACTTGAAGTTTTTTTTTTTTTTAAGATTTTATTTATTTATTGATGAGAGAGAGAGAGAGAGAGAGGCAGAGACACAGGCAGAAGGAGAAGCAGGCTCCATGCAGGGAGCCCCATGTGGGACTTGATCCCGGGTCTCCAGGATCATGCCCTGGGCTGAAGGTGGCGCTAAACCGCGGAGCCACCCAGGCTTCCCTACTTCAAGTTTTTTAAGTGAATTTTAATTCTGCTTGTTTTAGTTTTTCCACCAATCCCCTAATTGTTACATACTGGTTTTCAACTCTTCCATATTTGTATAAGAATAAATACCTTTTTTTTTTTTTTTTTGGTCTTCTACAGTTTGTTGAAGCTGGGATGGTGTTTGACCCAGAGCACTTTAACTATATAGTCAAGCTCTTATACCAACTACAGGCTTCCCAACAAGAAATAACTGCAGTTCTGGAGATGAAATCCAGGTAAGAAAAGTGATTATAACTAAAGTTAAACTTAACATACACATTTTTTGTGATATATATATATTTTTTACAGACTTGGAAAGGGTGAAAGCAAAGCACTTATTTATCACTGTTTGTATTCCAAACATCGAGCTAGTGACCCACCATAAGCCTTTCTTTCATCTCTTGGCTATGTCCTAGTCACATTGTCATTAGTCAGGCTGCTTCTAGACAGCCTTCCTGGCCAGCCTCACCAAATCTTTCCAGTACTTGATCCACCTCAGTGTTTGGCACATCAGCTGTAAAAAGAACCTCTTATCCTGTTTCAGAACTTAATGCACCTTCTTTTATGTGTCTAAAGTACCTCAATTCTTTTTTTTTTCTTTCACTTCTTTTCATGTTAGCTATGTAAAATACTTTAATTCCTCTTTTTCATTCTTTTTTCTCACTTGTTCACTTTCTCTCTTATGGGCTTCCCAATTGATTTATTTGGAAACCTATAATATTATGAGTAGTACCATAATATACCTGTATTAACGAAAAGGAAAGCCACAACTTTTACAAAAACTGTAATTAGGGATGCCTGGATGGCTCACCGGTTGAGCATCTGCCTTTTGCTCAGGGCATAATCCCAGGGTCCAGAATCGAGTCCCACATCGGGCTCCTTATAGGGAGTCTGCTTCTTCCTCTGAGTCTCTGCCTCTCTCTCTGTGTCTCATGAATAAATAAATAAAATCACTTCTCATTATCCTCTAATACAGGGTTTTTCAGACTTTCTTGGTTCATAGTGTCCATAGGCCAAAAAAAGTACATTAACAGTCATATATATTAAGTAGTTAGATCCAAACAAGTTAATAGTAGTAATTTGATGGTATCTGACAGAAGATGCTTTGAAAATTTAAAGTAACCTATGGGGCTCCTGTGAATTTTCTGTAGTGCCCTGGATGTCATTGTACACAGTTAAGAAATAGCAGTGATTCCACTAAGTGATACTACTTCTCTTGAAGCACCAGCATTGAAGATACGTTTAACTTTTTCAAGTTCTGAGTTTTTTTATTTCTTTAACTAATGATTAATATTTCTGTTTATAAAAATTATAATACTATTTTAGGTTAAATAGATTATTGGGACTACCTAGGAAATAAGTTTTTGTGAGAAAAATGCTGTTTGTCTAGCACAGAGTTCTGGGATATAATCTATTTATAATGACTAGAGTACATCAATATTTTCTTCCAAATATTAAGTCATTCTTCTCCTGATCCATCCGCTAACAAGTTGGCATTTCGGACAGTGGCAGCTATGATAGCTCAAATGGCTAGCAGATGTTCATCTCCTGTGAGATTGAATAGCATCTGGCACCTCTAGGTGCTAGAGGAGCAGTACTACCCTTGTTTCCAGGACAGCTACACAGCTTCACCTTTCAGGCAGTGATCTCTTGGTATAGAAAAAGGATCTCTTGGTACAAGAAGACTCCAGAACAAACCAGCCTTAGTTTTCAAATTTTCAACAATCACACATACATGTTTATAGTTTATTTTATAACCCCTAATTTTGATAATTGTATCCTTATACACTCCGCTCCTTCCTGTGCTCCCACTTCAAAAGAATTATCTAGTATTTTTAAGAGGAATTAACGTTGGTGGCCTATTTGATGAAAGACAAAGTAGGATGATAACTGTGGATAGTAAGGGGTATGGGTTGTGGTTAGGGATGTAGACCTGGCCTCAATGCAGAAGGAAAAAATTTAGTATTTATCATTTTATGTTTGAATTTTCCTGACACCCTTTGAAATAATTACCCTTTTCTGGGCTAGGGAAATGAATTTTTTTGAACACTCATACTTGATTTTGATTATAGTTTTAAATTAGGTAGTTTATAGTTCATTGGAAAGCTTTCACATTCACACAAAGAATTCCAACATATTCAGGATATCAGTGAGAATTTAGATGTGTCTGTAATTTAGGACATTTAACATACACTTAATGACTTTACAATTGTTTTATTTTGAAATAATTAGATTTACAGAAATGTTGCAAAAATTAGTATAGAGACTTCCCATGCACCCTTTATCTAGCTTCCTTTTATGTTAACATCCTACATAGTAATAGTGCAATTATCAAAACCAAGAAATCAGCAGTCATAAAATCCAATTAACTACAATCTTAGAGCATCCTAGCAGGAGGTACATGGTGCCAACATATCTTATTGATTAACTTAACCTTGGTAACCTTAACCATATTCCTTTATTAAAAATGTTATCCGCTATGCTAGGTTTCTACACTGTAGTTACTGTTTATCCCTTTGTAATTAATATTTTGGGCAAGAGACCTTAACATACTTCACCCTGTTTCTCCTCAAGCCTTCATATGTTAATTATAGTATTCATCAGGGAATCTTTCTGCAAGTTACTACTATGGTATTTGCTCAATGGTGATTTTACATTTTCCCTATTTCTTCTACATATATTAATTGGAATTTTGAGTAAAGAAGAACTTTCTCTTCTCCATTTATTTATCCATTTATTTCAGTATGAACTCATGAGTATTTATTTTATCTTACAGTTTATATATAATTTAATACTATTATTATTAATTTTTTTGCTCAAATTCTTCCAGATTTGTCCCTTGGGAGGTCCTTCAAGGTGGTTCGTATAGCCTTTGATCATATTCTGTTCATTTTCCCCTCCATTTTCTTATTTTTTGAAGCCACAGAGTTGTTTTAAGTTTCATCTTCTGTTTACCCTGCCCAAGCACTGGCAACAACCAAGGAGTTTCTCCAAGGAGTTCCAGTTCCTTTTATTGGAGAGTGGTATTTGAAAACCAAGATCTGAATGAGCTTATTGCTGCAGGAGTGTCATTACAGCTAGATCCTCTCAGTGTACAGGGCTAGGAAATATATTCATTATATATGTATATAAAAATATATAAACAAAACATACATATAGAAAATATATGCACATATATATGCACACAAAACACACCTACACAGAAGATATTTTTCTATTTGTATGTATATTAAAAAACATGAGTTCATACTGACTGCTTAATTCTAATCCAGCACCACATACTCATTTTAGCTTTCCATTTTCTTATATATAAATTCTTTTTCTGACAGCGAGAAATGTGACTTTCATTGTCTACAATGTGTTTACTCATTTATCAATCCTTCTATCCAAAAGTGGTGTCAGAACTGCTAATCCATACCCCTGTGAAAAAAAATTTAGAATGTAGTATTAATATAAAGTTATTTTTTTCTTTAGCCTTACAGTTTTCAGCCAAAATATTATTTCCTGTTTCTTAGGTTAGTTCTTTTCCCCACTCCTGTTGAGTGTGGATATTTATTTGTAGAAAATTGAGGTTTATTCGCTACTTGTTTGCATTATATTTTTGAGTTCTTCCAAATCCTACTTTTAAATATTTATTTAGGGAGGTATATGAAACATTACTGTTTATTCTAAGAGTCAGAGCAATATTAAAACGTATGCAATGAGAAGTGTTGTCCCCCTTATCCCTACCATCTCATTTCCATTTCCTCCTCTTTTACCTCTTTTCCACCTACTAGAGGTAGCTAGTGTTTTAGTTTCTGGTTTATCCCTTTTATAATGAGCAGATATATACATATTTTGTTATATCTACTTCTTTCTTACAAGGATATCATACGATAAATATTCTTTTCAACTTTTCTTTTTTCATTTAAAACAGTATATCCTGGAAGTCAATTTGAATTAGTTCATGAAGAAGTTTGTCATTCTTTTTTATAACTGCGTGGATATACTATAAGTTTTTCAGTCAATGTATAGGTATTTAATTTTTCCCCAATATTTGGCAGTAAAAATAATGCTTCAGTGAATAACCTTGGATATATGTATTTTTTTACATTGTTGGAGGTATATTTTTAGGGTACATTTCTAGAATTGGGAATTAGGGTCAGTGCACTAGAGCAACCACTAAACAATTATACAAAGTACTCAAAAACCTGTAGATAACCAAAATAAAATTCTAAAAATATTAAAACTAATCCCAAAGGAAGATAAGGGGAAACAGAAAACAGATAATAATAAAATGGCAGACTTGAGCTCTAGCATATCAATAATTACTTTAGATATTCCAATTACGGTAATTAAAGGATGGTGTTTGGCAGAGTAGATATAAAAGCATGACCCAACTATATGCTATCTATAAGAAATTCACTTTCATTAGTAAGATATAGGTAGGTTGAAAGTCAAAGGATGGAAAACAATATACCATGCAAAGGTTAATTTAATTTTATTAAAAAAAACTTTTTTTTTAGATTTTATTTATTTATATATTCATGAGAGACACAGAAAGAGAAAGAGAGGCAGAGACACAGGCAGAGGGAGAAGCAGGCTCTATGCAGGGAGCGCGATGCGGAACTCGATCCCGGGTCTCCAGGATCAGGCCCTGGGCTGAAAGCAGGCGCTAAACCGCTGAGCCACCGGGCTGCCCCGCAAAGGTTAATTTTAAAAACAATGTGAATGGCTATATTAATGGCAGATAAGATACACATCAGAGCAAAGAAAACTGCAAAGGGGAACACTATATAATGATAAAACAGTCAATACACCAGAGACTTAACAATCTTAAATGTGTATGCAGCAGGCAATAGAGCTTCAAAATACATGACACAAAAGTGACAGAACTGAATGGATAAAATTGACAAATCTATAACTTTCATTAGAAACTTTATAAAATCAAATTACCAAAGAAGATAGCAAGAAAGAAATAAAGGAACTACAAAATAGCTGGAAAACAATTTAACAAAATACCAATACTGAGTCCTTGCATATCAATTATTACTTTAATTTGACTATATTAAGTTATCCAATTAAAAGAATATCTAAATGGATTAAAAAATAAGATTCAGCTATATATTGCCTTCAAGAGACTTCCTTCAGCTTTAAAAAGAAGGGATGAAAAGAGCTATTCCATGCAAATGGAAGCCAAAAGACGGCAGGCTATACTTTTATCAGAAAAACTACACTTTTAAGTAACAAGAGACAA